AATGTGAGGGTTCACCAGCTGGGGTTCCTGACATCAAAAACTGATCACTAAATGGGTACCAAAGACAAGTGAGTGACATTTGAGCTCATTTTCTATCACAATTAGACAAAATCAGTGTCTTTAGTTTTGGACCTGTCAGTAAAAAGGTGCTGGAATGGTTCCAGAGTAGGGAAATGAAGTTAAGGATTTAGTGAACCTGTCCTGTGAGGAATGACTGAGGCACCTGGGGGTGTTAAATGTGACAAACATTTTGGACCTGTCCATAAGGGTTCAACACATTTGGCTGAGCTTTCCTGCTCAATTAAAAGTTGCTCTAGGTATCTTTCTTGCTGTTGGGTTTGGTGATGCTCTTCCCTGAAGAAAGCACTGGTTGGTTCAGGAAAATGTAAAATAATGGGGAGAGAATTTTAGCAGAGCCTGTAGCAAGGGTTTTAAACTGTAAAAAAAAACAGATTCAGACTAGATATAATGAGGGAATTTTTCAATGAGGATGGTGGAACACTGGTGCAGGTTGCCTGGAGAGGTGATGGATGCCTCATTTCTGGAAGCGTTCAAGGTCAGGTTAGATGGGGCTTGGAGCAGCCTGACGTAGTTGAAGATGTCCCAGCTCATGGGAGGGAGTTGAGCTAGCTGCCCTTTAAAGTCCCTCTCCAATCCAAATTATTCTGTCATCCTACAATTGTATGATTCTATGAAAAACCCTGGTCATGTCTGGAGATGTAGCAGGAAACACAGATTTACCAGCAAACATTATGGAAAGTTGTATTTTTAAGAGAAGAGTCTTAGTATTATTCACAAAGAAAAGGTTTTAAAGTGCTCACCAAAGCAATGATTTTGTAAATCCATTAGTAGGCTGGCAGTAAATTTTTAAATACCTGCAATGCAAATTAGAAGCTTTATAATTAAAAATAAGCTTTTCAATAAAAAATACTGATTTCTGAAATACACGTGAAAACATACAGAAGAAAAATATCAGGAGAAAAAAAGAGCTGGTTTGGAGGAAAAGGTACCAAACACACTCAGAAATCCTGGATTTTGCCAGAACTGGGAAATCTGCCTTTCCATGAGCTCAGCGAGCAGCAGAGGGCGCTGGGATAAACGGATTTCTTCTAAACTCCAGCCAACAATACGGATTTGTTGGGTGCTGGATACTGAGGGAGATAGACTTTTATTTCTAGAGCTCCATGCTAGATTTAAAAGGCAGAGCAGGATTTAAAGCCCATTTCTGAAACAGGGCTTTGATTAGGGGCGGGCTAAATTCAAAACAAAACAAAATTTAAAAAAAGAAACAAAAACCAAACAATAATTTTGGAAAAAGCATATGAAATAAAGGTAGCATAATTTATTGAATTAAAATTAATTTTTTTCGAGTTCTCAACAAAGTAACCATCCTGTTATTGTAGGTTCACCCTTCCAGGCCTATTAACAGATATTTATTTCTTTGGGATAATTAGATATTCAATTTAGTCTGCATTCTCAGTATTCTACAGTAAGTAACACTCACGGCATTAAACATGGGGTGTAAAGGACTTATTTTGATTTTAAGGTAGAGATTCAAGCACCGAATGGTCTGTTAATCAAAAAATCAGTGCAAATAAGAACCTGCACCTTTATCCTTAAAGAGGAAAAAAATCATATCAGCATCATTTCTAGCAAAGGAAATATTTGGATGTTTGCAACTCCCAAATATGGACCTGGACCTCTTGGAGCAAGTACAGAGTAGAACACAAAGATGCTCTAAGGACTGGAGCAGGCAGGCTGAGAGAATTGGTGTTGTTCAGCCTGGAGAAGAGAAGGATCCAGGGAGAGCTCAGATCCCCTTCCAGGGCCTAAAGGGGCTCCAGGAGAGCTGGAGAGGGACTGGGGACAAGGGCCTGGAGGGACAGAACACGGGAGAATGGCTTTAAACTGAAAGAGAGAAGACTTAGAATGGATATGAGGAAGAAATTCATCCCTGTGAGGATGGTGAGGCCCTGGCACAGGTTGCCCAGAGAAGCTGCGGCTTCCCCATTTCTGGAAGTGTCCAAGGCCAGGCTAGACGGGGCTATGAAAGTGTCCCTGCCCACGGCAGGGGGGGTCGGAAGGAGACGATGTGTCAGCTCGGTGCCAGTCCGAGCCGTGCCAGGCTCCGAGGGAAGCTGCGGGAAGCGAGTCCCCGTCAGAGGGCGCCGCCGCCCCGCTCATCGCGCTCCGAGCGCCGCGGGCAGCGCCGAGCGGAGCGGCCCTTCCTCCGCCAGGGCAGGGCTGCGTGGAAAGGTATCCTTAAAAATAATATATACATATATATATACATAAAAAAAAATTATAACCTGTTCCTTTGCCATCGCAGCTGCCAGCTGCAGCGCCCGTGCCCAGCTCACCGCTGGAAAAAAAACAAACGGTGTTTTCCTTGGAAGAGATTGGAAAAGCGCGACCCAAACTGCCGGGAAACGACTCGTTCTCCCCTTTTGGTTTTTTTTTTTGGTTTTTTAGTTTTGAAAGTACGGGTTGTAGTGGTCAGTTTTGGGTACGTGTGTCACTTTTTGGACGCAGGGCTCATTGCATGTTTGAGGGATAAATCGGTGTAAGGGTTGCTGCGTGGAATTGCTGAATTAGACTGGAGGCAGCTGAGGGGGTGGTGGCATAAAAGGGCAAAAATCAAATGCGAAGAACCTTACTTTTCCAAATTAACACTTGTTCTCTTGTCATGTTTTGCAAGTGCAAGAGAAATGTAATAATAGTGGGGTTTAAAAGTCAGAATTTACCGTGTATATCAATTTGTTAGCAAGAAACCAGCGGACGCCAAGTCTGTTTTAGAGTCGTCGTTTTTTCACTCCCCTCCTCTCCCCTCCCCCAGCTCGCAGAGCATATTTAATTCAGAGTGCCACGGAATTGTGAAGCATTAGCCGTCACGAAGCTCATTCACTCTGCCCTGTGCCAGCCTTCATGACTCAAAGACTTTCACAAAAGTGATGGCAAGCTGTCCCTTTATGAGCTTGGTATTTTTCTAAGAGGGTCATTCAGATCTATGGGTGCATAAGGGTGGCTGCATGGGTATCTCTGCACATCCCCATGCAAACAGCTCTCATCCTTTCTCCTTTTACAGCATTTTTTACCCTATTGCCTCAGCTGAAATGATCTGTCCAACCCACTCAGAGATGTGCCCTTTTTCTGCTCCTCCTCAGTGCAGCACTGGCTGTTCTGAGAAAAATGAAAAAAAAAAAAAAAGCTTTTTATCTGCTTTAATAACTTCTAGCAAGACCGTTGTCCAGCTCCTGCTGTAATATCTGGCCACTATTTGCCTCTTGCCTTTTGTGGGTCGAAGCTTTAGAAGAAGATGCACACTGAAATGGGGAGGGGTGGCAGGGTGGTGTAGAGGCTGGGGGGGGGAAAGGATGAATTTATACTTTCTGCCTTAAATTGAGGCCAAAGTGAACAGAAAAAGCAAAGCCCACCCTTCCCACCAGCCAACCACACACCAGCAAATGTGTCTCCTGATGAAGTTCTCCTCGTTTCCGAGATTATATATATATATAAAAGCATCTTTACCTGTAGGACCTTTGAAAGTACAAAGGACACCGTGCACTTTCCCATAGGATCCCGTGCAGAATAACAAAGACTTGTAGGAACCTTATAGGCAGAGCTTGAAATTTCCAGAGACAGGACCTTGAATTTAGAAACACCTTCTTTCTCTCTTCTCTCTGCCACTGTGCCTCATTTTTCCCCCCCCATTTTTTCCCCTCCTGGTGCACCAGCCCTGCAAAGCTCGATTGTTTCCTTTCAAAGGCAGAGATGGGCTCTGCTGCCGGTGCTGTGCAACGTGTTAAAAAAATCGGACAATGCGAAGGAAGGTTTGCCTGGGGAAAAAAAAAAAAATAAAGGTTAAAACTGGTCTAACTCCTCCTCTCCCCTTCCAAACCGAGGGCTACCCGGGAAATGCACAAACCCAACTCTATTTTTAATATTTTTCTGAAAGTAGCAAACGCTGTTTAAATGAGTGCACAGAAGGGTTTGCTAAACTCCTTTTTTATTTTTCTTTTATTTTTTTCCCCATATAAAGTATTTCTAAGTTATAAAATATACAGTACAAGCCTGAAGTCTAAGGCTTTCCAGTGGAAATCATTGATCTAAATTTACTCCTTTTAGATTTGCTTGAATGTGCTTTGATGAGACGCTGTTTTGGTGTTTAACTGCATATGAGAGGATAATTTCTGGACATGTAAATAAAAGCATATTGCATGTGGGGAAAAGCATCATATCTCGTTGTAAATGATGAATCACTTAGTGCAGAGGCAACTTATCCTTCATTTTATCATAGGGAGGATCTAAAATATATTAATTTAATTTCATCTGTCTATCTATATCTATCTATCTATCTATCTATCTATCTATCTATCTATCTATCTATCCATGCATCCATCCAACCATCTACTAAAATATCAGATATATGCAATGCATAATAGGTGTATTTAATCCCTCTATACCGACTCATATATGTGTAAATGTATAACTAGATTCACAAATATGCATTTAAATACACTCCTATATAAACTGACCAGGTTTGCATGCACATGTGCCTATGTAACATGCAGTCTCCATGTGCCCACATGTGGAAGAATATATATAATTTACATATCTAAACGTGGCAACTAATATGTCTATACATGGGGAAAAGTTGCCTTTTCAGTGATAAATGTGTGTATAGGTGCCTGTATGTGTAAATTTGTGAAAGTGCAGCTGTGTGTGTGTGTATTTTAAATGGCTGCATATAAGTCTCTATATGTGTGTATATGTCTATATCTAGTCACATATATGTCTGTAGCTATATGTAACTATGTAACAGATAATGTTTTTTACTATCCGATTGAGGTAGGCTTCTGCAGCCTATTGTTTCAGACAACAGATATAAGTTGCGATGGAAGAGGAACGTCGGATTTGGTGTCTGTCCCCCATTTCCAATTATAGATGGATCATTACAGACAGAGAAGTACTGAGAATCCAGACATCTGCTCTTCACATGAATGCACTCACCTCCTAGAGAACAGCCTGCCATCATGCTCTGGAAACTGGTTGAAAATGTCAAGTATGAAGATATCTATGAGGTGAGTATATAATATGCATATGAGTAAGAGAGTATGTATATTTAAATATACATCTAGCATATAGATACAGGCATGGCTTTATAATGCATATATAGCTCTACATATACATCCAGGCAGAAATAGAGACATACACCAGCACACACGAATATAGAGATGGGAAACTGAGACTAAATGCTTAAACGCTTATTTATTTGCATGTTTGTATTTAGCATGCCAAGTCCTGAACTTTTTATTTTTTTTTTTCATGGAAAAGCTGTTTGATGCGATTTAAAACATCAAAGAAATGATCTGGGGATTGGAATGAGGCAACTTAAAGGCAAGAGTTTGAGTGTTTAGACCTCCAATTATATATAATTCGATTAAATATGGACAAATGTTGAGGAAAATTTTAAAAGGAGAGAAAAAATAGAAAAGAAACACAATCCGGTATTCAGTGACTGGATGTTTTTCTTTCTTTTATTTTTTATTTTTCAATTCCAAGCTCAGCTCAACCTGAATATGGATTTTATTTTTTCTTTTTCTGCTTTTCACAATCGGATACGTTTTCTACGAGTTTTTAATACCTCTACACCAACAGATAAGCTGTGCGTGTGTACATATACCGGCATTAATTAAGCGGCACGTACATTCTTGTGCGTGTGTGAGTTCACACACCCGAACCGATACAGTCAAAGGCAGCTCCGCATAGTCCGCTGGCACGAAAAGTTGTGAGCTTTATCCAGACCTTATTTTCGAGGTCAAAAAGCAAACCAAGGGGGGAGGAAAAAAAAGAAAAAAAATCACAGCTCAAACGCTGCGAAACCTTTCTTAATTTTGCACGGTTTCCTGAGCCGGATCTTTCCCAAACGGGCTCCGCCAGTGTATTCCTTGTAAGTTAAACCAGCGCGGGGGATTTTCTCAGAAACGATGGGGGAAAAAAAAAAGAAAAGAAAGGAACAGGAAAGATGAGTGAGGAATGGAGCTCCACAAAATCACTTTTTTTTTTTTTCCTATTGTTTTTGTTTTTTAATTACGTGGGATTAATTGCACCGCGATCGTGAGGGATTTTCAGAGGGGCTCAATCCGCCACCTCCAGCGCTGGAGCTGCTCCGTGGGGAGGCGGCCGGGCAAGGACCGGGGACCGGGAAGGAGCCGGGGACAAGGAAGGGACCGGGGACAACACAAGGGACAAGGGCCGGGGACGGACTGTGCGCTGAGCAGGGACCGGGGACAGAGCAGGAGCTGGGCAGGGAGCTGGCAGGGGCTGGGGATCGAGCAGGGACCAGCGACAGGGCAGGGACCGGGGTCTGAACGGAGGCCGGGAAAGGACTGGGCACTGAGCAGGGCCAGGAGACAGAGCAGAGAAGCGGACAGGAGCCGGGGTGGGACCGGGCATGGACCGGGGACCGGGCAAGGACCGGGCAGGGGCCGAGCAGGGGCTGGGCGCCAAGGAGAGAGGGGATACCGAGCGAGGGGCTGGCTGCTGGGCAGGGACCGGGGATCGGGCAGGGGACGTGCGCTGGGAAGGGGACGGGCAGGAGCCGGGCAGGGCTGGGGATCGGGAAGCGGCCGGAGCCCCCCGGGAAGCGCCGTCGGGGCCGCCCCGTCCCCAGCCCCGCCGATCCGCCCGCAGCCCTCCCCTCCGGCAGAGCCTTGGCACTTACAGAGGGAAAACTCCCGGGAAAAGCGTGGAAAGGGACCGAGGGAAGGTACAGCTCCGGCTGCCCCCGGCCGGAGACAGGACGGGATGGAGGGAAGCGGGGAGGGGACCCGCCGGCCGCTCGGGAGAAATGTCTCCTCTCCCTAAAGCTGCCGTCAGGTTAATTACCATGGGCAAAATCAGTCTGCAGAACGAGCAGAATGGTCACACACGTGTGTGAGTGTGTGAGTGTGTGTGAGTGTGTGTGAGTGTGTGTGTGAGTGTGTCCCCGAGTGTCCCCGCGTGTCCCCAGCCCGCTGAGCCCTCGCTGCTTTTCCCTCCCCATCTCCCGGCACAGCCCGGCCATTGTCTCTGCCCGCAGCAGCAGGCGACAAAACATCTCCCCTCCCTGGCTGCCGAGCTCGGGGATGAGGGCTTTTTTCCCACCCTGCTTTTGATGGGGGCTTTTAAGGCGCTGTGGATTTACGGACACTCGCGTTCGTGGATTGCCGTGGGAGAGAAGAGTTGGGGGAGCAGTTGGGTGGGATTTGGCTGCGGGCAGGATGTATCCTAACTTGGGGATGCGCTCCAGGGAATTTTGTAACGTGTAGCCTCGCAAAAATAAAAAAAAAAAATAAAAAGAGAGAGAGAGAGAGAAAACAATTGTCTTTTTTTTTTTTTCTTTTAAGAGCTGAAACCCTCTAGATTTGTGTTTAAAAAAAAACAAAACAAAAAAAAAACCCACTCTCTTCTTTCTGATTTATAATTAACACGATGGTAGAGGTGTGTCAGCCACTTAAACTGAATCTGTTCTTAAAACAAAAGTGTGTGTGTGTGTGTGTATGTGTGTGAGTGCAGGGGGGGCAGCTCTGGGAAGTGTGAGTCTGTTTAGGAAGGAACGCAAGTTGAACTTTAACAGAAATGGCAGACAGTCCAGTTGAACGGGTTCCTGCAACATCAAAAAGCTTTTATATCGCCCCTGGCTTTGCCTCAAAACTATAAATTTACTATCCTTCTAAATTCACTCGATGCATTTCACATTTGAGTAGAAATCGGGAGATCTCTATAAGTATATATATATATATATTTTTTTTCATATCGAGCCGTAGAAAGAGGATTCAGACAAAAAAAAAATAGAGCCAAACAATGCGGATTCAAGTATTTATTTGGGTATTGTGAATAAATATGATCTGTAACACGCGCCAGAAGGGCTTAATCTTTACTGTAAATAGACATATATTGCAGTGACTGAGCGTTTCTTCTTCCATTCCTTTAAAAATTACCTAAAAAAAAAAAAAGCCTCTTTTTCTTCATTATTTACTGAAAAACCCCAAAAACAAACTGCAAGTACAAAAGCACCGGAGGCAATCAATTCCTTGTATTAGAAATGTATAATTAAATATGTATTAAAACAAAAAGGAAATATACTTTTCTCTTCTTCTTCTTCCTCTTCTTCTTCTTTTTCTTTTTCTTCTTCTTTTTCTTCTTCTTCGCCTCAAGCATTGCTTCATCTCAGTTCCATGATCCAGCTCAGCAGTGTCTACTTTCCACATCTTCCTCCGCTCAAGTTTATTGAAGTTCTGCCTCTTCCTCGCTAAACTTTTTCCCCCCTCTCCCTCTCCCCAAACTCTGCCTCTGCCAGCCCCCCTCGTCTGATTACATCTAGTAATTCTCCACTGAATGAACGTCATTTACAATAGTAGGGGAGCTCTCGAGCTGGCTGCCAGCTTCACGCTCCATTTGGTCCTGCATTCTCCCTTTAAAGTAGTCGTGTAATATTAATAGTCATGAATATCAATTATTATGAGGCGGTGTAGAGAAGGAAAGGGAGGAAGGGGTAGCGGAGCAGTCTGAGCCTAGCCTTGGGTTGAAGAGGATTGTATTTGGGAGCTCAAAGGCAAAAAAAACCCAAAAAACCAAAAACCAAAACCAACAAAAACAAAAAAGAAAAAAAAAAAAAAGGAGGAAAAAAAAAACCCCGAGAGGGAGGGGTAAATCATATATGTAGATAGAGGTTTCCAGGCTCGGTTTTGGGGGCACTGGTCTTTTTTTTTTTCTTTTTTTTCTTTTTTTTTTAACCTTTTTTTTTTTTTTGATGGATAGACTTCGAAATATCTCAAGCTGTTCTCCTGTGTCCAACACGTCCCTTTGCAGATCTCCTTGATATTTTTCCCTCCAATTATTAGTATTATCACCATTATTTTATTTTTAGCTATTACAAGACTTTTTTTATTTCCAGATGTTAGTCCACACCTATTCCGCCATGGTGAGTTTGGATCCATGTTGTACTAGAATTGCATGTTCTCTCTCTCTCTCTCTCGATCTGTTGTGTCTCTCTCTCCCTCTCTCTGTCTTTTTAAACGCCTTTGGCTTGGTAATTTAGCACAATAATTGGAGGAGGCTTGCAGCTGCTTCTCCCTTTCTGCATTGTGTGTTCCCGATTTGAGCTAGGGGAGTCTGGGGGGGCGACCAGGGGGAAAAAGAACTTTTTTTCCTTGTTGTTTTTATTTTTTTATTTTTTTTAAATCATGTGTGCCATCGCTTGTGGGGGTTTGAGCTACACTTTGTGGAATAGATATTTTTCTTGTTTACTTTAACCTCGCAGCTTCAGTGCCTTGGAGTTGGACAAAACTCCTCTCCCACCTTTTTTCTGAAGCCTCTACACACTCCCCCCACCCCCTGTCCCCCCCCACATCTCAAAGACTTTTCATTACAATTAACCCCCACCCCATTCTCTGGAATATAATATTGGAAAAGGAAACAAAAGACACTGGAAGTTGCTGCAGACATCATAGCGCCTGGATTTGTTCAATACCGATGTTTCATCTTTATTTTATTTGATTTTTTATTAAATTAATTTTTAAGGGGTAGACTCCCTTTAAGCGAAGATTCCCCATAGAGTTTTTTTTTTTTTTTTTTTTTTCCCTTTTTTTTTTCCTTTTTTTTTTTTTTTTTTTCTTTTTCCCAAGTCCTTTTTAACACAACTTCTCGTCTCGGAGTCTTCCGAGAAGTGCAACTTTCTTTTTGGGCTTTTCCACGCGAAAATGGGTTGGTGATTTTGAGTTACACGACTTGAGCAGAGGGAATAAACAGATGTTGGGAAACTTTAGGCAGGAGAAGGGCTGGGTTGTCTGGATAGTTTGGTTTGGTGCTCTTAATTTTTTAAAGTGTTCTTTTCCCTTTGGTTTGATTTGAGGGGGCTGTGGATTGGGAATTATACTACTGGTCTGAAATCGCAGATCGTACATGTATTTGGAGCACTAGTCCTACATTTTTAATTATGACATTTAGCAATTCTCCCTCACACCCCCCGCCCCTTCCCCCTCCTTGATAGTTCCTGGGAATAGACACGATGTGGGTGCAAAACATTTCTAATAAGTGGCGGGGAGAGGGGACACATCTGAATCCCACTTTCCAGCTGTTTACATCCTATTTTGTTTTATTTCACTTCGGGGGGGAGGGGGGGGAGGTTTGTGCTCCTTTTACTTTTTTTTTTTTACTTTTTTTTTTTTTTTCTAAAAAATATCCTCTTTTTTGTTGTGGTTTGTATGTCATTCCGCTTGTAGGACCGGCATGATGGAGTGCCCAGCCACAGTTCCAGGCTGTCCCAGCTGGGATCCGTCTCGCAGGGACCCTACTCCAGCGCTCCTCCGCTCTCTCACACCCCATCCTCGGATTTCCAGCCGCCTTATTTCCCACCCCCCTACCAGCCTCTTCCTTACCACCAAAGCCAGGACCCTTACTCCCATGTCAATGACCCCTACTCCCTAAACCCCTTGCATCAGCCCCAGCAGCACCCCTGGGGACAGAGGCAGAGGCAAGAGGTGGGATCAGAAACCGGGTCACTGCTGCCACAGCCTCGGGCCGCCCTGCCCCAGCTCTCGGGACTGGACCCCAGGCGGGACTACCACTCAGTTCGGAGGCCAGATGTCCTCCTGCACTCAGCTCACCATGGCCTTGACTCCGGCATGGGGGACAGCCTTTCTCTGCACGGCATCGGACACCCAGGGATGGAGGAGGTCCAGGTAAGGCACCGCGTTCCTTTCTCCCGGGCAAGGCAGATGGAGCCCCCGTCCCTGGGTCAGGACTGATCGCTGAGGGATTTACAGTAGTATTGCTGGGGGTTGCTATCCCTTTTCCACACCGGGTTTGTAACTGTGGTACTCCCCCCTCCCCCTCCCTCTCCCTCTATTTTTCTATTTTTTTTTATTTATTATTTTTTTTTTAAAAAAAGAGAATTTATTTCCTCGCCGTCACGCACAGGCTCTGCTTTATAAACCCTCCCCTACGTGGCCAAGCAGCAAAGTGCAGGGGGAAGGCTGCTCTAAATATTCCACGTGTTTCAAAAGCTGGCAGAGTTCAAGCTTGGCTTTTCAAATTCCAGTTATTTCCCATGCAATCTCAGCTTCCACTCCCCTCCACCCCCCTCTCCTCCCCCCAACCAATTTCCTGCCGTTCAGAGATTTTGATGAAACTGTCGAATTACTACATTTTTCATCCGGGAGGGAGGGAAATTATAAACAAAACCCCAAACAATGCAATAACTGGTGATCGGGAACAAGTCCCTCGTCGGTCCCCCCACCCCCCTTATTTGCGAAGTGTGCTTGGTATGGTAGCACAGAATTTAAATAGTTTCATTCCCTCCTTTGGATAACAAAGGAGTTTCGCCGAGCTCAAAGCACAGTATTTCCCAGCTTTCTTCCATCCCACGCGAAACTCATCATCACGTGCTATTTCCTAAAAACAGAAGGACCCTTAACAGCTTCGCTGCTGGGGAGGTTTGCACCTTGCCGGAGCAGGGCATGGCCAGCCCGTGGGGACCCCCGAGGCAGGGACTGGAACCTCCGGGGTCCAAATCCTGCCTCAGGCTCTCCTGATCGCGATTTTTGGGGTTCCCCTCCATGCTTTTTTATTTATATATTTTTTTAATTCCAATTTTTTTATCATATCTCATATCTGTATATGTATTTAGTCTCGGGATAAATAAAGGTATGGGCCACTGAATGAAATACCGACTTCAAAGTTACAGAAAGGGGAAAAGAAAGGAGAAAAGAGGAGCTGGGAAGATTTAAAAATAGCCGTGAAAAAGGATGCTGATGAACATGAGAGGAATCAGCGGCAGGGAAGCGGAGGGGATGCATTGCTTTGGCTTGAGGCTTGTCTTAGGGCTGCACGGGAAAATTCCCGAGCTTTGCTGGGGAGGAATGTCTTAGAAAAAGAAAGGTTTTGCTGTTTGGATTTGCTCCTGCCTCCGAGCTCAGTGACCGCCGGGTCGCTGGTTTCTGCTGATTTCCGAGGTGGCTTTGAGACCTGGGGGCAGCCCCTGACCGCCAAGGGTGCGATGCTCAGGTCTCGTCTCGCATTCCTGGCTCAGACAAAGTGCTTTGCAAGTCAAGGCGAGTTTTACCTCTGTGAATGCAGAAAGGAGATCGCTCCCCTCCTTTCTCTCTGCAGCCGATAGGCGTTAAGTACTGTTTGTGCCTGGGTATTTACACTTTCCCCAAAGAATAGTCGGTAATTGTTGCTCTTTCGTGAGAAACGGAGTAAAACAGAGGAGAGAGAAGGGAAAGGAAGGAGATAAAAAGAGAGAGGAGAATGCTGAAAGGACAAGAGAGGAAAAGATAGAGAAGAGAGGAAAAGGAGGGGGAAAGATAGGGAAGGAGAGAGAAAGACATAAAGAAGGAAAGAAAGAAAGAAGAAATAGGAAAGAAGGAGCTCAAATAAAGCAGCTCTCCATCCGTTTCCCAATAAAACATCCCTTCTGCGGGAAGGACACTGCACTGGCGGAAAGCGCCTGTCCCCGATGGTCCCAGAGCTGCGGGGCCACCCGCGGCCACCCGCGACCCGCTCGCCAGGGCTGGCCGGGCAAGGGGTGGTGCGATGGGATGGGGACAGGATGGGATGGGATGGGGATAGGATGGGATGGGGATAGGATGGGACAGGCGAGGCTGTGGATCAGCAGGGCTGGGGCTCTTGGTTTTGGGGTGCTGAGACAGCAGGAAATTAAACAGACACCTTATTTCTGAAAGTTTGTTCCCAGGTTGGGGGAGGAGGGGAAGAGGGAGAGGAGGGTATCCCAAGGAGAAACACGTGAAGGGAGAGGTGTCCCACTGCAAGTTAACGCAGGCAGCAGGGAAAGCAGCCTAGAACTCTCTGCTGCCGCTCAGCATTCTCTATTCTTTTCCCTCAACTAGTGACAGATGAAGCTGGGCAGTTTTCCATCTTGATATTTAATCTGGGTTTATTCTAGATTCGAGGAACCTTTTCTAGCAACAGGTTTTTTATTTAGGCGACATATACTCATTATCCACCATCACTAGATACAATTTCCAGGAAGGGTCTGAAATACTGGGTTTTTTTCTTATTTCAGTAATCCAAAGGGTTGAACGGATAACTAGATGTATAGTTGGATAAAGATGTTTCTCTTTGCTTAACTTATGCATGTCTGATCGAATATGTGCCATGAGAATGGGCTGGGCTGAGGAGAAGGAGACAGAGAGTGCGTGACAGAAAGAAACAGTGGTTATTTTATAAACATCTAATCCAGTCCATGTGTGAGCCATTGTCCAGGGCTAGAATTAAGTGATTGTAACACGATAGCTCTCTGTTATTGTAAACAGGACACACTGTATTGCTATTGCTGCCTCTCTCGAGAGGAATTTTCAATCTGCGATTTACAACCTTCAAGACAGGGAACTGAGAAGCCAAGACCTACTTATTGAACAAAAATTTGCATCACCTAATAGGGACTCTGAAAAAAAAAAAATTCCAGTATTACAACCCCACATATTCCCCCCCCCACACCACTGGCTGGGCAAAAGTAGGGTTACAGTAATAAAGGATTAGATGAAGGAAAAATGGAGGGGGAAATTCAGATTCTTTAGACTCTTTGAAGAAAAATACAGAGCTCAGTTTTAAGGTTTTCACTCAGATGTATCCACAGAAGTTGAATAAGGTGGTTACAGATAGTACTTAGGAAGTTTCGTGCTATCAGATTATTGGAGGAGGGAAGGGAGGGGAATCTTCCTCTCCAGATTTTCCAAGTATACCTGGAAACTCATCACCTTTCCCCTCCCTGCACACACACCTCCGCTCCTCCTCCTCCTCACTCACGCTGCTACTACGTGCTAGAGCTAGAGACACGGAAAGTTAAGTTGCACCAAAACACCCAAGTCTCTTATAAAGTAACCCCTGGTATCACTTTTAACTAAAGAAGTCTAGTAATTAAAAGTCTGAGTTGTTTTTCCACGTTTCCGCATGCAGTCCTAATTAAATCTTTACGATCCTCTCTGTGACTATTAACTGCCAGCATGCTGAGCGAATATCCTGTACAAAAACCCAGCAGGAGGGCGTAATTAGATAGAAAATCAGACAGGAGTCTTCTCATTAACTACAACAACTAACCCACGTTGCTGATGGAGCGAGCTGAGCGCACGCACACGTATAAAGGGTGCGCGCAACCATCGACTCCAGACATAAGGTGAGATAAGGAGGAAAAACGAGGGGAAAAAAAAAAAAAAAGGAAGATGATGTTTCACGTTTACCTCCGTTTTGTGCCATCGAGGTTTCTGCACTCCAGCAGGCTGCAGGATTTGCTCATCATCCCTCGTTGGGAGCTGCTCAGGGAAAGGAGGGAAAGACTTTGTAATTTTATTTTGTGCCCTTTAGGTATGGAGCCTATTGATTATGAGAGAGAGACACAGCCATGCCCAAACACAGCACACAAGGCACCGCTCTGTGTGCGAGCTCATTTGACGGTGGATTCGAGGAAAATGAAAGGAAAGCTCTCACAGAAAATATTGTTCCATCGCATTTTGGGGAGATGTAATTTTCTCCTAACCCGCATTCCATCTGGAATGTCTCCGCAGAGCACAGAGACGGAGAGAAGAGCTGGATGCGAATAAGCTCAGCTTCTCGTAGCAAAGATAAAGTTAAAATAATGAAGTGTTAATCATTGCTTTGCTGTAAAGGTGCTTTGCTCAGCAAGGAAAAACGTGACAACTGCCCAAATATGCAATAACACCGAAAACTCCAAACCTTTTAGTAATAGTAATGGGAAAAATAAAATAATAAAACCAAATCCCCCTTTTCTTCAGAATTTACCCTAAAAACGGAGCCTGTTGGAGTTCTGCAATAAATTGTTCTTATGACACCTCTTCTTTTTCGGAGGTGGCTTTACCGTGCTGAACGCAGATTCGGCAGTAATTTTGGTTTGCTTGTGGGTTTTTTGTATCTCCCACTTTCGTTTTGAGAAATGAAACCCAACATTTTCCGCGTCCTCTATGCCCGTCTTTGTTCTCTTCCCTGCTAAAGAAGTTAATTCCATAATAACAGGTGTGCTCCTTGGCTGGCTGGAAAGAAAGGCGAAAAAAGAGGGGGGGAAACAAGGCTTTGAAATTCGGAGACTTTTTTTTTTTTTGTCCTAGGCAATCAATTTGATGGTTCATACTTTGATAATGTGTATTCCCGCTCCTCCCTCCCCGTCCCCACTAATTCAGGACATGGAAGCAACCTCGGGAGCTGTAAATCTCTTTCTGCTCGTCCCCTGTACGATGTGGGCGTTGCACTGCGCTCCGAAAGGCTCCGGCTTTAATTAAAAGTCCATAATGTAAACTATGATATATAAAAAGTAAATGGCCCTTGAATTATTAAGTTGTAGCAGGGTTAAACAAACAAACAAACAAACAAACAAAAAAGGAAAACAAAAAAGAAAAAGGAGGAGGGGGAGGAAAGGGGAGGGAGCATTTAAGTTGTCCTTAATCGTGTTCATTTATGTCATGCAATAGGTCTTGCAGATGTTGCCAAATTGCCACATTTTCAAAGGAAGAAATATAAAGCTTTATGGAATGCAAAGAAGTCTATGTGATATCTATGTTTTATAAGATAACAAAACCAGTATTGCACCCCATATGCTTCACACCTCTTTTTTGTTTTATTAGAAGACTATATAATTTGTAAGAATTTAATTTCCTTGTCGATTGGGGGAAATAATAATAATAACAACAACAACAATAATAATAATAATACCTACAATAAAAAAAATCCCTCCTCCCTTAGTGAATTAATATAAATGGAAATAACAGGGACTCCAGTTTGGAATGACATGATTTATGTACGCGATTCTTTAATATCCAGTCAATTTGAATAGTGATGTTTTTATATCCACAGTCAGTTGAAGATGCCAATAACAGCGGTATGAACTTATTGGACCAGTCTGTCATTAAAAAAGGTATGGATTATTCCAACAAGCTAGACAAACTTTTACTGTGTAAAAGCAATATCTTCATGATATATTTTGACTTTGGGGCAATGAATTTCTCCGGGAAGCAGGCACTCATGGCAGCAAGATGAATAGTTGATTGGATCAGCAGATAGAGTGAAGGGATAAGACACGCGAAAGGAAAAGTTTCTATCCCCGCCTCCCCCGCCCTTCAAAGGGTTTAATTACACGAAGGCTAACGGGGCACCCCGTGCTCCAGTGCAGCTTCCACCGCCCCCCTTCCCTCCCTCTCTCCCCCCGATGCTCTTCGGTGCGGACCCCTCGGTTTTCAATGGGGGAAGGTGTTGATTCCCTTTGGGGCTTAAATGCATTTCCCAGGCGAGTCAAAGGCGGAGGGGAGAGAAGGAGATGCCCATGGAAGGGCAGACTCAGCCCCCTTCCCCACTCCCTCCGAGACTCCCCCCTTCCCCCAAGATTCCCCCCTTCCCCATGCCCATTTTTTACATCTTTCTACATATGCGCCCATGATTTAGTGTAACTGCAGAATCACCCCATACTGTTAAAGCGAATGTGATATTAACAAATGTTTGCAGTCTCTCGTACAGCTGTAAGCAAAATAATTAACTAATTAAACTAATTAAATGTAATTACAATAACTCATTTTGGGCGTATTGCAGCTGCTTAATTTTTTTACATTTCTCTGACAGTCACTCGAAGATGCTTGGCGATTAGTGTTGTGTTATGCTGATAGACATTAAACAGATCACGCGCTGCAAATGGAGGGAAAGCTATCTTTAATTATCTAAGGAGTTTCTATTTCTAGATTCAATTTTAAGTACCAGAGATGGGATTTAAAAACGCTGTCCCTTATGCTTACTATCAACTGCTCTTATCTCCAGGACCTTGTTATTGTCAAACGCGCACAAATCGTTTAACAGCGACGATTTTCTAGGACGTAAAGCAAAATAACAGGGAGGGTGTTTATCTAAAATGTGTTGAAGGCAGCATGAGGTCCTTCCGTGTATTTATTGCTTGTTTTGTTGTTGGTTGGTTGTTGTTTTTGTTTTGTTGGTTTTTGTGTTTTTTCGTTTTTGGTTTTCTTTTAATTTAAATCACCGTGTACGGGCTCTCTTTCACACACGCGATCAAGGTCTTGTTATTTGAGCGAGCACAAATGAAAACTTGAAGACCATTTGACAGCACCATTTATGACTATCGGTTGAAAGGTCGAAGGGTTTGGGGTTGTTTTTTTTGGGTTTTGGGCTTTTTTTTTTAAGAAATAGAGAGTTACTTAACTTTAAAAAGAAGAAAAAAAAAAGGGTGGTATGTTTCTGCTGTTTTGGTTCAATTTGAATGTTTGGTGAGATTTATACTCAAGGTCTGTAACCTGATGGTTTCTGGTTGCATTTTGAACTTTTTTTTTCTCACTCTCCTCCCTCTTCCCCACCCCCACTTGACACCTCATTCACTCCCTCTTGGGTGTATTTGATTAATTGGTACTTGATTTGTGGTCGAGACACTCCTTTCTAAGGTTGTTCCGTGCTGGTATTTCGCAGAATGCACAATCCAAAATGCTTTTTTATTTTATTTTTAATTTCTTTTTTAAAACACGCCTGTATCTGTCCCTCCTTCAGCTGACGAGGACAGCGGAGATATTCCCTGTGCGTGCTGGGTGGTGCGATTAGACAGCGAGTAGCACTAAAATGCGAATGCCTGCAATCATTACGTGTTAGGTACAGGTTTTTATATGCATTAGGCATATATTTAGGTGTGCTTTGTGCGTGTGGGTATTGCAGCGGCCCCAGATGGAGCAGCTGCTGCCTAAAGAGACCCAGTCCCATCTAGGTGGGATTACTTGTGCCTATTTGCAGCCAGAAGAAGAGATACTCTGAGTTTACACATGATGAACAGGAGACACATGCTCTTTCAAAATAAAGTTACCAAAAAGGAGCCTGAGATGCATTTGCTACTGTTTAAAAGTCACTGTAGCAGCATTTTGTCCTTAGAAGTAAGGCTGAGATCCAAGAAACTTTCCAGCATAAATGAATATTGTATTATATTTTCTTCCTTTTTTTTTTCTTTAATTTTTTTTTTTTTTTTTGCACAGCGAGTTTCCTGGGTGCAGAGGAAGAGAAATGGGTAATAAATAGCAGGTCACATTTGTGGCAGTCAATATTTAATCAGGACGAGGGAAGGAGCAGCACAGAGAACGTTCAGTATCAATTTCGTTTTGTTCCCTGCAGTTTGTAGCCGTGAGAATGTACTTTGAGACAAGAAGAAGTTATTTAAACTCTGTGAGTCGTTTTTGCAGGCAGATGGCACAGGTGGATAGACAGACAGACAGGTACTGACAGATTTTTGTGCAGGGGAACACTCCTGTGACTCATATTTGGCAGACAAGGGTCACAGGGGGTCTGCTTCACCCAATCCCTGTTCAGTCCTTAAAATTCTTTAATTGCAAAGTAGTGGGAAAAGTATGATGGGGACTCGAAACCTAAACTTAATTACATCACCCAGGCTGTGTCTGTTCCTTTATGGACTCTGAGGCCTGCAGAGGGAATTTCCTCTCTATGCAAAAGGTTCGCCAAAATATTAAGGAAATTATATAGGGATTCATACACGGGTATTGATTTATCTCACGTATCGATCCCACACAACAGATTACATATACCCAGGCTCCTGTTATGTTTGCTATCTGAGCTTACTTGACATTTCTGAAGTAATTTAGTTAAGAGGAAATGAGTTGTTCCCAGTAGAGAGAGCAAACGAGTGGAGTGAAGGTAGCCAGCGTGATAAATGGCTCTTTCATTTGGAGATCTCCAGAGCTCGTTTAAGGCTAATTTTCTGTATTAGCCCCCTTTGAGCTATTAATGCAATAGGCAGGGACCGTGGCCCCTTGTCTCTTAGCTGCCCCATTAGAGCGAGCATTAAGCTACCAAGCCTGAACTCCACTGTGGTGGTGGTGGCGCTGAAATAATGAAAGGTGCTTTTTAAACTCCCCTAATCTAAACTGGCAGAGGGTGGTTAATACGATTTGAAGGGGGCTGGTCAATGAACAATCAATAAACTAATAATGAGAAGGATGCGGTACATTAAGAGTCTAAAAATCCAACAAGACATTAAAAAATCATCTTTAACTCCCACTTCCATTAAGATTTGGGTGGTGGAAGTGGGAGGGAGGGAGCCAGATAAATCATCAAGATGATAATAATTGCCAAGAACATTAATATCAGATTTAACTCAGCTTTCAGAGCTTACCGGCTGCACACTTTGAGGCCTTTCCCTCACTTTTTTTTCTGAAATGAAGGGAAGGTTTGCCACGTGTCAGGAATAAAAGATCGAGTCCCCTTGTCAAATGCTCATCTGAAATTTCCTTGGCACTCTCTATGGTGAAAGAAGTTGTCTTCCTGCAAAACCTTACATGGCCTGAGTCCCAAGTTAATTTTTTGTGACTCTGGGGCAGAGTCAGTGACCTTAAAATTATTCTGATGTATTTATTTACTTTCAGCTCTTTCTGACGATCGTCTGCACACTCACATCTGATTTAGCATGAAAGGCCATTTTAATTTGAAGACCTTAATTCATGGTCTTGCAAACATGCCCCGTTGTTCCTCCCCTTTTAAGGAAACACTTGAAAGAAGGTGTCCTAACCTTTTGTTTTTAGCTGTTAATAATCCAGGACGAGTTTCCTCCCCACCCCTCGGAGCAGCTGATAAATCATTAACTGAGAACCACTCTGGCCTCAGCTTTTCAGGTGATGGATCTGGGGCTCATGAGATGCTGCTTCCATGCCACTCATTTCCGTGCTTATTCCTGGACTACCCACTGAACCTGAGGATCCCCTTTAATTAAACGCTAAACAGTTTCGAGGGAATACATTCCACCTGGAAATTTATTCCCGGCTTTCAGGGAACGGGGGCTGCGGTGGAGGAGAGGGGGGATGAATGGGACAGCAGGAAATGGGAGATGAACGAGCACATCTTGTATTTGTTCCTTAAAATTCAGATAAGCTCCGGGTCCCTTTAGTCTCAGCCCCTAAGACTCTTTACCTGGACGTTTTAGGCTTGGCTACTGAGTCAGACGGAATCACCACTTAAAGTCCTGTTGTTAGCACGGACAAAGGACTTTCTACTCATTTAAAGCCTAGTAGGCAGAGTAAAAAAATTTCAAAGTAGTTTGAGAGTTTATTAGTAATTAAATTGTCCACGACATTTTAGCAAGAAATACAAGAAATGTTTTTGTTGATTGATTATTTGACTGACTGTTCGACTACAATATTATTCAGCTGGGTTATTGCAATGATATCAATGGTTTAAAGCCTTATTAAAGAGCTGTTTGCAGGACATAAATCTTATTTCTTTAGTTTTGCTGCAGTCAAAACATGTTTTTTCACCCTATTTCCACTTGTGCTTTCACATTCGTGCGCATTTTCACACTCTTGTGGCGAGCAGCCCAAGAGAAAACCACCACCAAAAAACCAGAAAAAAAAAATAGGAAAGAAAAAGCCTAAGACTTAATGTATGCACAGAAAATTGTAAACATGTAAAGAACTGAAAGCTTCACGCTGAGTTTCGCCATGCTCCATTTCCCCACCATTTCCTGCTGTCGTTCTAAAGCGATCTCACTCATCTAGAGATCCCGTTTGCAGGAACAGTATGCTTATAATTACTAACAAATCAAGCGGCTACTGTTGCTCTCCCGGTTTATTGATAAGCTGAAGAGAAATGGAAGGGGGAGAAATGACAAAGAGGCTGGAAGCAACCACAGAGAAAAAGGAAAAAAAAAAAAAAAAAAAAAAGGAAAAGAGGAAGGAAAAAGATAAAGGGATGAAAAATGAGAGGGGGGAAAGAGAGAGACAAAGGAGGTAAATAGAGAAGTATAAGGGAGAAGGCAGAGATTTTGAAAGGGGGAATTATGTATTTGTGAGTGCTCACAAACACACAGAAAGTAGTTTGGGGATGAAAGCAAATCGAACAGTTTCTGGCTGGGATGACAAGAACTAGATGGGATAAAGTGAAAGCAGGGGTGGTGGGGACACTGCATGGATATGTGTGTGTTATTCCGTGTCATTTCAGCAGCTGTGGCAGTCCCTGACCAACTGGGGAAGTTGACATTGGCTAAAAATATACTCTGCATTCGGGTTTATTTACATACGCACAGGGATTTGACACATGCAGCTGCACTCACGGGCGTGGAGATCTCCTCACCCACAAAAGCTCCACGTTCTGTTATCTCTGCTGATGTCTGGGCTGGATCTGAAAAGCTCCAGCCATGATAAACATATAGATATGATATAGATAGAGATAATTCATTCCATGGCAAACACTTTTTTGAGGCAGCATTAGGTAATTTACAGAAGATATAGAGCCTAGATAGAATAGATCTCTCTGAAGCTATGAAATTGCGATAGATATGCTTACACCGCCTGGCAAGCCTCTCAAATGGGCTCAGAGCTATCAGGCTCCAGCTGATGGGTTTGTTCATACCATCCTTTTCAGGGAATCACTGCTAGGAAAAGAAGCTGAGGAGCTCTTAGCATAGCAGGGAAGGGTGCCAGGCTGCTTCCCAAAAGCAATTTGCAAGGGAAAAAAAAAACAACCCAACAAAAAACACGGAGCACGTGAAAATCCATAATTCAAAGGTTAACTAATGTAATGAGTGCTCCAAAAGGCCAAAGCGAGTGGGGTGAGGTACATTTAAGCATTGCACGGGTCCTTCTCTCTTTAGTGAGTTTGGACTAAGATCAGATGTTCGTGGAATTGCTGCCTCTTGTTTAATTTCTCAGTTCACTGGACAGTGACCTGATAAACTGGTCACTAAATATAGCCACGGTAAAGGTGTACTCAAACCACGGAGCCCATGTGTTTGTCCCAAGAAAAAAAAAGACAGTCATGAAAATCTGTCTGGTGGCACTGCTTCAATCCAACTTTCTTCTTTTTTCTTTTTTTTTTTTTTTTAATTTCTATTTTTTTCTTCTTGATGCCTCACTCAAACAGATCATTGTGCATGAAATAAGAGATATATTTATATATAATGAGGGGGAAAGTACAAATGTAATTTTTTGGTCTGCGGGTACTGCCTCTGATATACAGATGAGTTTTTTTCCTATAAAATCAATGGCAAAAAAAGAGCCTAATAATGGCAACGAAGGCAGGAGCAGGCCTCTAACTCTTTTATAACTGTTTCTGAGCCATTCTCAAACTATTTGAAACCGCCTTTATGAGCTGCATAAAGTGCCTAACTAAAAATAATAGAGAAATAGGAATCCATTTCACTTTCCGATTCCCTGAAGTCAAGCCACTCAAAATAATTTGTTTACACTGGAGACTACATACGAGGCATACGAAGCAATATGTATATCTAAAATCGACATGCCTTTTGGTTTTTAGCTGTTATAGAGCTTTTATTGTGGGGGTCTGGTCTGGCAGTAGGAAATGATCTGCAATAAAAACAGTGAAACACGGTTGTGTCTATTCCATGCACTGAGGTTATAAATTTGGCAATTGCCCAGTAGTTAGCACTTGGTAATATATTAGGATACCCGATCTTATTGTTTAGCAACTCCAGACGACTTAAATATCCGTTCAACCCTAATGGTTTGATTCTCCAGATATGTTGCAAATAAACAGGGCTTTTATGACTTAACTGACATGTATTATAACTACCTAAATAGCTGGCATATGTGCAGAATAGAACCTTATTATTTGCCGAATTGGTTTTGCAATTGATTGAGTGGAAAAGGGAGATTGTGGAGCAGTATCTGCTTGAAGAGGGTGTGTAATCAATTAGTCTTCTCCTCTGAAACGTGCCCGCTGGACAGCCAGGTCTCTCTCACCAGCAAAAACCCCAATTCCAGCGTATATTTTCTATAAGGAAACGCATGTTGCCGTGGATCTGAGAGGAAGCTGCAGTAGCAGCTGTCAGCTCTTATTAACTCCTGCATAAAACATACCTTAAGTATGGTTTGTTATCAATTACTTGCAGAAATGAAACAACTGGGAAAATGCAGCGAGGCTCCCTATAAATTAAAGTGATTGGGTGATTGATTAGAGCACCTGCTGTAAATCATAACAGTTACACACAATTATGAGGGAGCTATTTAAGTTCATTTGTAAACAAAATTCATGTCATGGGGGAATTGCTCTCAGTTTTAGTTTAACCAATTTTTTTTTTGTTTATTTCTGAGTGTGTCTGGTTGCTATTATAGGAATTTGTTTGTTATAATCCCTTGGTTGCTCTTAAAATAACCTCACTGGTTTCTCAGAAATACTTCTTTTTATCTTGGAGAGAACAACATGGTTTTATTTAGTTTAGTTTCACTTTATCATTCTCCTTTTAGTTTTCCCTTTAACTACCTTTAAATACATGTTGCAGTAACTAAATCAGTTTAATTTAGGGGCAGGAGAGTTCTAATTCACGGACAGCACAATATGATCAGAGTGGAGAGCACCATGGTTAGACCAGATATTTTTTTTCCTGGTGTTCACCTTTCTGAAGGAAAAGACTCATTTTATTTCATAAACCAGACTTAATAAAAACACAAAGCAATAACAGAGCTGTCTTCTCATTGCTGTATCCTCCAGCCTTGATACTTATTTAAGACAGCAACTCCCTTTGTGTAGTGAATTTATTCCTGGCTCAGCTTAGCAGTAATGGAAACATTAGCCAAAAAAAAGTAAATTTTCCTCTTTTTTTCCCCTCCAGAAAGGCGCTGTCCGTTGTACAAAAGGCATCGGGGGGCTCTGGGTGAGACACAGGCTCAAACCCGAAAGTTGCCAGGTGCTTGCCAATATGTATTTTATTTCCCAATGATCAAACCCTGCATAGAGGCTGTACTGTACCACCCTTCTCTCCATCCATCATTCATGGAGCACTTTCCTAGAGGTTGGGGGAGCAGCACCCTTTAGGTTGCTGGAGGTAGCCAGAGATTCAAAATTCCCTTTCATTTTGCTGTTCTGTGCATGTCAGGGAGACTGTGGTTATCCTGTGCTCCTTCGTGGCGTGATGGTTTCTCTCTCCCCTCCTCCCGTTTTCTTTCTCCAGTTCCGGTTCCTCCAAAATCTGTTACTTCTTTGATGATGAATAAAGATGGCTTCCTGGGTGGAATTTCAGTCAATACCGGAGAGGTGTTTTGCTCTGTACCTGGCCGCTTGTCTTTGCTTAGCTCAACTTCAAAGTATAAAGTAACTGTGGGAGAAGTTCAAAGACGCCTTTCCCCTCCAGAGTGTCTGAACGCGTCCCTCCTAGGAGGAGTACTTAGAAGGTAAGAGGCTGGGGAAAACGTGTCAGTGTGTCTGGGCCTCCATGCATGCACCAGAAATCCTTGGTCAACAGCACAGATGATTTCAAACATGCATTGATCCTACTGTCAGAGCCTGTGTGTGTAATGCTGGGGATAAGGCAAAAATATGCTGTGTTCAAACATTGGGATGAATGTATGGAGAGCAGAGAAAGATTTGGCCTTGTTTATCCGCAAACAAAGGAACTGAGACAGAAAGACTTTCTCCTCGTCCATGCACACACACTTTCTATATTTTCTCCTCCTCACACTTCTCTCTTAGAAAGTGGACAAGATAAAATGCCATGATGGGCATGTTTCAGGCTGAACTGCCAGTATTTCAGGACCTGATATATTTCTAGGGATTTCCTAGATAAACCCACGAGGCTTTCTCTGCATAGCAATAACGACCAGGCAATTATGTCAATTATGGCACCTGGTGTCACACACGAAATTGGCAGGGATCTGATAGGCAAACTGTAAGGTAGGCAAGTACCCGACTTAAGAAAACCCACCAACAAGGAGCTCTGAAAGCCAGAAACTTAGTGTTTCACACCGAGAAAGATGCTACAGCTCACAGCTGGTCTAGAGGCTTTTGCTGCTTAATATTTGTGCAAATCACCCACTAATGTCCTGGTGGGTTTTGCTGAAGATCTCAAAATTGTTGGCATTATTGGTACTGAAGAAAGTGGGGAGCAAGGAATAACCTTGAGGTCCTGTTGCCTCTCCATCATAACAAGTGGGAGACTGTGCTTTTATGTAGAAGCAACAAGAATTTAAACTCTGAGACCATTAGCTGGAAAAGCTACCAGGGAGAAAGGGGTTTTTCTTCTTGGCAGTGCCTGAGGGACTGTGAATTGTCTGTAAGAAAGATGAGCTCAGGCTCTATCTCCAGTCAAACAGGGGAGAAGCCATGAGGTAACGATGTGAGGTACCAGTTCACACACTCAAGCTGAGAAGGTACAAGATGTCATTTTCTGTGTGTGAGGTAGACACCAAACTGGAATAAAAATCATAACTTTTAGACGGGGACAGATGCATGCAAATTGACAATGAATAAACTTCAGATCACATTTAAAAGTTGTTAATCTTAGAGGAGGAAATATCTTGAAAACTCCTATAGCAGCCCCTAGAATATGTTGGCTCTAAGGTGCTTGAAAATGAAGTTGATGTTTGGGGTTCCCCCCTCGTCAAAAATTCTGTGATGACGTCAAGGGCTCTGGTTCCGTGTCTGGAGACGAGGGGGAAAATTCTGCTACATGTGTTTAGTCACCCAAATACACACGTGAGAATTAGGGTCTCCTAAAATAGCTGCTGTTCCATGTGAATGTCTGTAATCATTGCTCAGCTGCCAGGGAGAGCAGCAGAGATTTTTACTTACAGATGCAAACCTGCCTGCTCCTTCTGTGAGGCTACAAATGGAGCAGGGAGAACATCTGAGAGACGCTCTGTAGAAAATATAATTACCAAGGTAAAGAGGCATTATTATTGAACTTTAACAGATTTCTGGACGTGGCCCAAGCCATAATTATTGGCTGCTGCTGACTTCAGTTCCTATCTTGAATCTGAATTTTAAACAAGATTTTGCTTTAGAGCAGATGAAATATAGAAAGCTGCTCTCTTGCAATTCTGACATCCAGCCCTATTTACTTCGATATAGAGTAGTGGAAAGCCAGCCTGGCTTCTCTGTAGCTTCTGGTTTCCTAAGTGTGAATTCTAATTCTTCAACAAATTTTAAGTAAGAATTAGGAGAAAGTTGGGATAGACTTTGTTTTTAGGTGCCAAAACTCTCCCTGACTTTGCAGGTGTCAAGATTTCATCCCTGGGGGTTTACATATGTATGGGCGTTCGAGCAATAGCTCTGAATTTCCCACGTAGAGCTCACTCACTCTTTCATTGCCCTTATCAGTAACCTCCGACAGATATTCCAATCTTCCCTCAGGCAATCCATTCCCTCTTTATAGCACCCTGCCCCAGGTGAGCTCTTCCTCTCAGCATCGCCTCCTCGCACAGGAACACACTCACAGGCTGGGAAACAGTTTAATAAATATTTCCCTCCTTTTCAATTTATCCACAGGCGCGTGCACACACCCTTCGAACTTTTCAGGTTTATTTGTTTTCTTAATCCCCTCGGAATAACAGAGGGTTTAATCCTCTTCTACCTTTCTGCCCATCCCTTTACTACATCTTAAGGCAAGCTGGTATCATACCCACTTGCTCTCTAGATTAGAACCTCTCCATTAATTATTGCTGTTTGATGTTATTTGATTCCCTTGAATAAAATCGGGAGAAAAGTGGGTTCACCCCCACTTCTACCCCTGGGAGAAATTAAGAAAATCTCAGCAAACCCGAGCAGAAATCAACACCCCCAGAGTCCTTAAAGTTGAGTGAAAACCCTCCCAGGCTTCGCTGACTGCACAGACTAAACGTTTCTTCCAGGAACACTGCGGGGTTAATCACGATGTTAATTTCTTTGCAATTCTAGAGCCAAATCGAAAAACGGGGGGAGATCTTTGCGAGAAAGGCTAGAAAAAATCGGTTTGAATTTACCAGCCGGCAGGCGTAAGGCCGCAAATGTCACTTTACTCACCTCCCTGGTGGAAGGTAAGCCGAGGGTCGAAGCTCCCTTCACACCCCTGCCTGCTCTGAGCTCCTGTCTGACAGTCACAAAGCAAAACAAACCAAACCGAACGAAAACAAACAAAAAAAAAACCCTACCAACTTTTGGGATCAGGTGGGAAAACCTTGTGGAGGTGAAAATCAGGGTGTGTTAGGAGGAACTCCATCACTGTTAAGGATACAGTTCCCTAAAAAGAAGTCACTCTCTGGAGGATCAGTGATCTCTCTTGGTGGCAGGAGTGAGTGTGTCTGTGTGTGTACGTGTGGATATATGTGTGAACACTTGTGTGCATGTGTAACTCTGCAGGGCAATCCCATTCCTCATGCTATTAATTTCCACCCTGTGATCTCCAGCTCCAGGTCTGCTCCATCCTCCCGCTATTCACTCCTCTTGAGCTGATTTATGGCATCTACAAGATGCTCAGTGAGGAAAAAATAACACAAAATTATTTGTTAAAAATATTTTTTCTTTTTCTTCTTTTTTTATTTTTAATTTTTGATAAAAAAGCAGGGCAATTTAAGAGTAGCAGAGCTCAGTTTCCTTTAAGGTGGCTGGAGCTGAAAAAAGAGACCAGCTACTCCTAAGGAAGGAGAGAGGGGAAGGTCAGACTGAAGTTTCAAGTCATTTCAAGTCAACTAATGTCATTTTGGTGGCCAGCGTGTTTCTTTGATTTGTGGTTTCTGTATCGACAAGGAAAAGTTAGAGCCACTAATAAGTTTAGGGTTATGTGCGTGTTTATGTTAAGAGAAGTTGGACTTCCTCCAAAAGAAACCTAACTGGAATAGTATGGATGCAATTATGAATTATATGTGTCTACATTACACATGCACACCGAGAGGCGTATAAATGATCCACTTATCTCTTCTGCGTATAAAGCGAGCATAAATATTTGTGCTAGATATTAACTTTTCAACTCTTTGGATTGAGTTATGTGAGCGACAAGACCTCGCTGCTTGCAGAGCTGAAGGAAGGCTCGGGAAAGGACAGGGGCTGAGCTCTGCCTGGTACCCGCATGTGAGGGATGCCGAGAGCACGGCTCAGGGTGGGTTCCGGGTAAAGGGTCTCGCTGTAGAAGGTGTGAATCATTTCGGGGGGCACAAGTGCCCTTGAGAGCCCTGTTAGTGCAGCTTCACCCCCGCGGTGTGTGCGGAACACCGTGCGCTCTGCTCGCAGCAGCACCAGCCCCTCCCCGAGGCTGCTGTGAGGCTCAAAAGCCGGTGCGGCTGTGTAGTGATGCTAAAATCTGTGTCAAGCGTGCAGTAAGGTGTACATTCCCCTCCTCTCCCCTGATTCCCTTACAAATCAACAGTTTGCCTCCAGAGAGTTCCCTCCTTTTGGAAGAAGCTGCACCTGATGGAGTTTTATCTCCTTTTTTCTTTCGTTTTTATTTTTTTTTTCCCTCTCCTTCCTGCCGGCAGCCAGGTTTAGCACAGCTGCTCCTGCATCTCCAGGAGCAGGAACGCTCCGGTCGGTCCCGGCCCGAGTTGCCCGAACGCTGCCTGGGAGGACCCTGCCCTGCTCGGGACCCCTCTCCAGGCTCTGCCCTTGCCTTCATTAACCGGTTTGATGATTAGCGAGAAGCATTGGAGAGCAGGAGATGACGTTGGAAAGCAACTCCTGATAGTTAAAAATAACGTGGTCTTGGAGTTATTAGACATACCTGCTTGCTGGAAATCTTCCCCCTCGTCCCTCGGGCGATGCTTTAAAGGGTTTAACGCTTTATTCTAGAGGGGCTGAGCTATAATCTGGTGGAATCCCTCTAGAGTCTGAGGGTTTTTTTCCCCCCTCCTCTTTTCCTCCTTTCTGCAGTTACTGTCTTCTTCTTGTGGCATGAAGTACATCAGTAGGAGTTGGATGACACAAACCTCTGTAGGCAAGAAACCTGAAACCAGGCAGGCAGGAAAAGTGAATTAGAATTAGAGTTAGAATAATAATTATTTTGTTCACGGAAAAAGTTGCCATTAGTCGTTATCTTTCCACCCGGCAGACAGGAGTTCTTGTTGCATGATGGTCAGTTAAAAATGCAGGTTGTTAAATTGCCATCGGGCTAAATGCAGTTATCTCCGTAATTTTACAGATGTGGGATAACTGTGATAATGATGCGAGTGCCCTGTGTGTGGGTAAAGTGTTCCTATAACGTCCCACAAAGAATTAACATTAATATTAACAATATATCCGCATCTGTAAAATTTTGGGCAATGTTCTGAGGTATTGAAACAGAAATGGTTTCTCTGTTCTTTAGAGAAGTTTGAGTCCTTAGTTTTTCAGGTTTTGACCAGTTTCCTCTCGCATTTTCCTTTGATCCAGTTAGTTTTAAAGTTTTGTGTGTGTTTGTGGTGGGTGTGCGTGTGAACTCTTCCCTCGGCGCTGCACAAGCAGCTGTTGGGTACAGACCGACACGAGTGCAGCGCAGCAATAACAAATCTCCTCAGCTCAAAATCTGTCCCATCGACTTCTGTCCCCACAACAGGGCTGCTGGGGGAAAAACACACAACTGCAGCCTGTCCCTGAGGTGGAAGGGATGATGAGAGGTTTCCAAACACGGCTCCAAGGAGCTGGTGTCCCCCAGGGGAGCCGCGGGCTCCGGCCGGTGTCCCGGCGGGTCGCAGCCAGCCCAGCCCGGGGCCGGCGGTGTCCGGAGGTGTTAATTCCCGTCTCGTTCCCTCCAGGTGAGGCCGTTCATTTAGCTCGGGATTTTGGGTACATCTGTGAAACGGAGTTCCCAGCCAAAGCTGTTTCTGAGTACCTGAACAGACAGCACACGGACCCCAGCGACCTCCACTCCAGGAAAAACATGCTGCTTGCTACAAAGTGAGTGCCAAGTTAATTCATCCCCTTCTGCCCTCCTCGGAGAAAATCCTCCCTGCCCTCAAACTCTTCCTCTGAGTTTGGAAAGCAGACGGAATTTCCAGGCTCTAAATTCCAGCAGCCCTGCAGGGAGGAAGGATGCTCGAATGGCCCTTAGGACCTCTGCACCTTTTGCAGTGGGGTTCCTGCCAACCAGACCCTGCCCCATAGAGGTTGTAGGTGATGCTCCCCTGGCTGTTGTACATCACTTCCAAGCCATCCCCAATTAAATAATTTTTATGCAAAGTGGACCAAAAATTTATATTTTGCTTCCACAGTGTGTTTGCTTGTCCCTCCTGCTGCTCACACACACCTGTCTGTCTGCTACCAAATTGCAGTGCTTTTCCCATATGATTTAATTAAAAATATATATTAAAAAAAAAAAAAAAGCAAAAAAAAAAAAAAGCCCCCCACCATGCACTGCTAATGATTCTCTGTTTGGGCCCCCCCAACCCATCTCTCTCCCTTGGGACTTCCTCGGTGTGTGATGATTTACAGCAGGCTGTGCCTCCCAGGCTACTCACCTGGTGCTTCATGGTTTTCTCGGGTACTTGGCAGTGGGTCCTGAGTGTTCACACATCTTCATCTGCCAGGAAGAAAAAAGAGGGTAAAAAATAAAGAAAAGAAAGAAAAATCCCAGCCCAAACATCTCTCATTTATTTCATGCTCTGGGACGTGGCTTGCCTCCGATGACAGTGTAATTTAAAGAAATATATGGAGGGTTGAAAAATCATTTGCTCAAATTTGTCCAGATGTTTCTTAGACGTGATTGGAATTTGATTGCCCTTTTCCACAGGGTCAGAAGATATTAATGTCCCAGAACTTTAATTGCTCACAGACCCTGCTTTGCTCTTTGAAGATGTAAAATGTTGGACTCATTACTGTTTGTTCTCCAAATTCAAAGTTTCCTCTCTTGCACTTTCTTAATGGATAATACACATAGAAGTAGACCTTTATCTTTCTCCACCCTCTGAAACCTTTAACCCACTGGGAATTTCAGAGAATTTCAGAAGATGAGAGCTGAATGTCTTTTTTAAGGGTTTCTTTTTTTCCTTTTTTTTTTTTTAAATTCTGGTCTTTTTTATCTCCAGTCCCTGCGTAGGCACCTGTCTTAAAAAAACTGATTCCTTTGGGTATCCTTAAAGAAACTATTCCTGTGGGAACCCCACCAGCCTCCAGGGTTTCTGCATTGCCCAGGCACCTGCTGACTTGAAGGTCTTTTGGAGCAGAGTAATTCAAAAGAAAATGTTTGTGTGTGAATTCGTTAGAAAAATCAAATCTGATTTTTCAAAGGTGCAGGCAAACAACCAAGAGCCAGATGTCAATTCTGATGTGTTAATTGGGGTGCCATGCCCCCAGAATCAAATGGGAAGTGCTGGCTTCTCATGCCACAAATAAGCCAGCACAGAGTCCCAAAATCCTGATTTTTCTCAATAGTCTGGCCCAGCCTGAGCAGTCTCAGAGAGGCTCTCAGAGGTTTTAGCCTTTCCCTGCTCCAGGTCCCTGTGCCACCCAATAGCTCTCAGTGCACAGCTGTGCTCTCCTGCAGGAAGAGTATAGAAATACTCTGGGAGCTGCTTTGAGCCAGGCTCAGGCCTCCAGGAGGATGGGTGCTTGGCAGATCCAGACATTTCCCTTTCAGCCTGGTTGTTCCTGAAGCCACCAGGCAGGGCTGGGTTTTCACAGTACTTCAGAAGCATCCTTGTGGCTGCTGGACAGATTTTAATCTCCAGAGCTGGTGTTATCCCCTGAAGAGCATCAGTCTGAGCAGGGAGCTGCTGGCTCACCATGGCTGGTCCCCAAGAACAGCTGGGTGGAAGGATGGTGGCTAAAGGGTCCCATCCCATGTCTTGGGATCACTTTTGGCCTGAACCTGCCCTTTGGTTGTCACAGAGAATTGTTGGATGAGCCTAACAACCACTCTTCTCTCCCTCTCTTTGCCTTTCTGTCTTCCCTGCAGGCAACTTTGTAAAGAATTTACAGATCTCTTGGCCCAGGACAGGACGCCCATTGGAAACAGCCGGCCCACCCCTATTTTGGAACCGGGCATTCAGAGCTGCTTGACTCACTTCAGCCTCATCACTCACGGCTTTGGGGCCCCCGCTATCTGCGCTGCCCTCACGGCCCTCCAAAACTACCTGACTGAAGCTCTCAAAGGCATGGACAAGATGTTCTTGAACAACAACACTGCTAACAGGCACACATCTGGCGAAGGACCAGGTAGTAAAACTGGAGACAAGGAAGAGAAACACAGAAAATGAGAGAGAGAGAGAGAAAGAGAGAGAGAGAGAGAGAGAGGAAAAAAATTAGAATGAAAGAAAGGAAAAAAAAAAAAGTTAAATAAATAAAAGGAGAAGAGAGAGAGATAATCTTTTAAAACAAAACCGTCTTAATTCTAGCTTTAAAAATACTGGATTGGGCTTTGGAAGAATTCTATTAGGTAGGACAAAATAATAATAATAATAATAAAAAAATAAAAATAATAATAATAAAAGAAAGACAATAATTTAAGATCAGAGGAGCACAATGGCGCAAGACCAGTGGTTCAGAGTCTCTTGCCAGGAACATGTGAAGACAACTACCAGGATTTTTTTCCCCACTTCTGTTCTTTCACATTTTTTAAATAATGATTGGGGGGGAGGGGAATATAATAATAATTAATAATAATAATAAAAGAAAGAAATGAATAACTTATTGGAAGAAATCGGAGAAACATTTTTGGTGTCAGTGCTTTGATTTCTTGAGCTGCACGGTCTGTCTTGCTATTATTTTTTGTTTTATTCTTTTTTTTTGGTTTGGTTTTGTTTTGAACAACGTCCTGTCTCCACCTAGACTAAAACAATCTTCCAGAATGTTCTTTTCTGAGCAGCCCCCATGGCCTCATTCCCCTCAGCTCTTCCCACCTCATCTCACCACCCTGGTTCTGTCTAGACTAGGAAAGGAGGGGAGCTCCCAGACCCCTCACCAAGCCATCAACACCAGCTGCGTTCACGGCAGCGTCTTAACTTTCGGTGCCACCAGAAGGGACGTTCGCGGTCGCCGTGGCTCAGATGAATCTGCCAGCTCTATTTTTTAAGAACTATTTTGTGTTTTTTCCTGGTCTAGACAGACTCTCTGTTTAGATTGGCAGCGTTTACAGGTGTGTCTGGGTGCGTGTGTGCCTCTGTGCGTGCATCTGTGTATGTGCACACCCGGCTCCCCAGGGGGGCGCGGGTATCCCCTGTGTGTTTGTGGATATATATGTATATATGTGGATATATACATATATATATATATATATATATAAATATATATAAAATATGTGTGCGTAGCCACGCATATTAATGCATGCAAACATCCCTTTGTAATTTAGTAATTTTGTCTTTGATGGTAAAATGCCTTGTCTATAATGGGTTGCAAAATTTTGGAAGTAAGGTCTGGTACAATGTCAGCGCTATCTGATTTCTTAATTTTCTGAGATCTCTTTTTCTCTAGGGAGTTTTATATTCCTAACTATGACAATATTTCAGTCCTTAATTTCCTTGACTAGTGTGTGTGAGAGAGCTCTTCCCCCATTTTTAAAGAACTGTTAACAACAACAAAAAATGAGTGATATGAGTATGTAATTCTTTCTCAGGAGTATGCACTATTTTATTTTCTTCTGTTTCCTAAAGCTTTGCCCGCTTGGCTTATGAGCTTCTTCAAAGAGGACTAGAGATCCCTACACAATATATCAGGTACAGAGAAAAAAAATCCACAATTCTGATATTCTGATACTTTTTATTTTTTGCTTTTTTTGCTTTTTCAAATCAAAGCCAGTTGTTACTGAATTCTGTAGGTGCACTTCTTTAAAGAAGCTCAAAGGGAATAATTTGAATGAGATAAAAATATAAGTTGAAATCGAGGTGTACTGTTGCAAAGAGAATAAGAGCTGTGTTGAATGTTACGGCACTTGCTTGGCACTAGGATTTTGTACCCAGGGAGGAAAGAGTTGCCATGTGAGCTGGCTCCTCGTGATGGGAGTGGGGAGGGTTTGCCAGGGAATACCCTGATTTCTGAGCTCAGTCTGAGGAACTCTGTTTCTCTTAGAAAGCTTTATTTTTAAAAAAAAAAAAAAATGTCTTGTGACTCTTGCTTTAGAACAAGTCGGTGTGGTAAGGGGGGCAAAAACTTCTTAACTCCAATGTTTTTCTTGGTGGTTTGGTGTCTGACAGGATGTCTTATGCATATGATTTGGGGTGGTGGGGGTGAAGGGGAAGTCTTATTTCTTTCCTCTCTCTCTTTTTTTTTCTTTTTTCTTTTTTCTTTTTTCAACATAATAATCTTTGTCTTCTCTGGTAAAAATAACGCTGAAGTGTAAGGATATGGATTTCTGTTTGGATTCTGTGGTGTCGGGTAATTGCATGTGTTACTCAGTGGGCAGGCCTTGTGCACTAACACATCTTTTTGCTTATGTCAGAACTGGGTGTGGGTAAATCTCCAGGAGCCACTGGCAAAATTCCAGTGGGGTCAGACCTCCCCCTAAGATCCCTGTGAAAGCTGCAGGACTCATCCCCACCATCCCAAGCAGGCACACCTGAACTCAAAACAAGAGAGAGAGAGAGGAAACCTTAGCCTTGCTTTAATTTTGAGATACCTTCCAAAGTGGATAGTGAGGGAGAAATAATTCAGCAATACTCTCAACATCCCTTGATGAAATGTTCTCAAAACAAAAGAGCAAACTATCCTCTTGTCCCTTGGCTCTCTGAGACGTGGTTACAGCTGAGGGCCTGCTCTGCTTTTCAAATTTTCATGCAGCCAGGCCTCAGCTCTTGTTCTCTACTTGTGATTTGGGCACAGGTGGCAATGGAAATCATTGGGATCATCCAGCCCCAAGGAGCAGTGGCCCCTCCTGAGCTGCTCCTTGCTCACCTTTGGTTCTTCCGGGGCAGTGTGCTGTGGGGGCTCTCCTGTGAGAAAATGGGGAACCGAGGCAGGCAGCCTTCTTCATGAGCTGCTGGGATGAGTTGGAGGCAGCCTTAGACCCTGGCATGTCCCTGCTAGGGACAACCAACCTGGGTTTGGTTGTGGTGGGGATTGTCACATCCCTGTGGATGTCGCCAGGGGAGGTGTGGTGGTCAAATCACAGATCCCCACCAGCAGGCTGGGGACCCTTAAACTGAAAAATAACATCCAGGCAGCCCCCAGTCCTCCAAATCTTACCCCTTGCCAACCACCCCAAAGTCCATCAGGCTTCTGGGGAAGGACAATTCAGGCTCCAGTGGCCCGGCACGTGATGCAAGGGAAAGGGAAAGAGGGGATCTGGGGAGGAACAAATGTCCCCACCTGGAAGCACAGTTCCCTTCTCTGCCTGATGGGAATATCCTGTTTATTGGAGCAGAGAGCCAAGTGTTGGATGTTGCCTTGCATTCCCCCTGCAAATAGGATTTATGAGGAGCCTGTGGGTCCAGCCCTTCAGCATCACCCGGCCCAGTGGGGCTTTTGGGTGTGGGGAGCTTTATTAGACTGAGAACAAATTAGCTCTCAGTCTTCCACATCCCCAGCTGCATGTGCAGGGCCATGGGAACCTGCCCCCTGCCACCCCAGAGCTTGCAGCTGAAGGCTTTGGGGCCGTGTTGGGAATGGCCTTTCCTTGTCTTTGGGGAAATGTAGGGGATTCTCCGTTCAGCTGCACACGACGGTATCCCACCATCACTGTGGATTAATGGGGACAGGGAACCCTTGGGGAACTTCTTGGGGAAAGACTTAGGTATGTGAAGGCCTGATCCTGCTGCTGCTGAAATCTCCCCTAGACACAGGTTTGGTCACCTGGACCACGCCTAAACCTTGAGCAGGTTGAGGCAAGAGTTTCAGTCTGTCCCTTGTGCCTTCTACCTGGAGGAGACAAACTGCAAATGCCAGACTGTGCTGTGCTCAGGCAGAATAAAGCCAAATTCCCATTGACTGCAGTGGGATGTCCTCGCTCCATTTGCTCCCCAAAGTGTGGAGACAGAACTCACAATGTTTATGATTGAATGCAATCAGGCAGAGAACAGGAGAGGAGCACAGCTCTCTGTCCTTCTCCCCAGCTTAGTGTTGGTCCCAGAGGGAATTATCCATTGCTTGGTGGCTCCTCTCAGTGCTGAGTACAGAAGTCACCCCCAAACTAAACTCAGCCTCCCTCTTGAAGGCATTTTCCTGCTCCCCTCCACTTTCCCAGCCTGACTACTTGCGTTGGCGGAGCACCTCAGACGTTTATCTCATAATTGAGTTATTAAAAGATTTGGTTTCCTCGGGATCATAAATCAATAAACAGGAGGATTAACACGGCAGCCTTGCTTTGTAACTCAAGGGAAAAGTTTGAGGAGAGACCATGAAAAGTTTGTTTTCAAACCAAACAGGTGGGTTGCTGTAAATTTTATTTTATTCTTAGTCTCCTTTTTTTTTTTTTTTTTTTTTTTTTAATAACAGTTCCTTAATTGCCATTGGAAAGATCTTTATTTTTGTATGCTCCCTGACTTTTTTTTTCCTGGTTGTTATTTACGCAAGATGTGAGGGAAACAAGAAGCCAATTTTATGGGAATCCTTTTACAACCCGATGGTTTCTTTAAAATCGGGTTGTGTCTTGTCCCACCTAATAGAAATTCTCTGTGAGAAGCTGTTTAAAGTCCCTTTGCATCCCAGACCAGTCTCTCCCCGAATCCCCAGATTTGCATTTGGGGCTGGGAGGGAGCGGGGGAAGGATGGATTTAAGACCTTTAGCTGTGCCCAAAGGGCTTGTTTCCCTTCCCCTGCTCCTCTCTGACCGGTTTATCACACAGACCTGTCCGGCTCCGCTTTAATACATTTCTCCCAGAATTTGGTGCTTGTTTCAGCTGCCGTAAGCATTTACCAGATCGACCCAGCCAACCTCCCCCTCCCCTCCGGCTTCCCTGTGTGAGAGAGACCGTAGGCTTTTTACAAATAGTATATTTTCTTATACAAAGGGAAAAAAAAAAAATAAAACATCCCCAAACACACTGGCAAACGCCTGAACATTTCGAGAGAGATGAAACACTGTGTGCCAGCGAGAAATAAGGCAAAAAAAAGAATAAAAAAGAAAAAAAAAAAGAAAAAGACCCAAACAAACGCAAAGCTCTGAAAAAGCGAATGAGAAACTGGTAAGATGAAAGAAAAAATAATAAAAAATTCTCCTTTTATGCCCCAAACGATCCCTTTCACCTCCTCTTCTTGAAAAATCTGACCATGCAGTTAGAAATATCAGTTTATCGACTCTTCCTGAGAAGACATGTGGAGAGGCATTCAG